AAAAGACTCGTGCTGGTGGGTTCAGACTGCCGCAGACGTCAGTGGGCATGGCAGCCTGGTTTGGCACAGCGATGCTGCTTTAAATCCAAAGAAAGTGTAATGGTGACTTTTACAGTTGCCCTTAATTTGAAGCCGTTCGCAAGAGTTGCTCAGCGCCCAAGTGTGTGGGTTTGTGAGGCTCTCCAAAGATACCCAAAGTTTTTCTTGCACTGTAGGTGCCCACCGCCAAATATCCCCTTTTAATTTTTTAGTATGATGCAAAGCTCCCTTATAAAAGTGAATAATTGCCACTCGTACCAACTTACTGACACGTAACACTGATCTCAACCTGGATGGTGTGAGAGTGTGCTTGCACACGGTAACAGCAAGCACAGATGTCAGAGAACAAGACAATAACAAGACCTTTTCCCTGTTTGTCTGTAGGATTTTTGACAGTTTTGCACTTGGGGTCATTTGGCAGAGAGGCAGGATCAGGCTTTGGGACCTCTCATTGATCGTGTCAATGACTCCATGGAAAAGGAAAAGCAAAAACAATATAAGGTTTCCCGCCAAAGTCGGCAAGCTCACATCAGCCAGCGAGGGAAAGACTTTGTGTGTAGCGGTGTGACTGTGTGAATACTTAATTAGACCAACATGTGACTCGTCCTGCCTCTCACAGCACCGCATGTCCGTGACTGACAGCACAACCAAATCTTGAGGTGACCAAGAGCAGGGGGGGTCAAAATTGAGGGAGGGGGGAAGAAGAGGAAGCAAAGGGGGAGCTTCAGTGTGTCCACATGTCTCACGCGATCTGGAATCACCATCGCACGTCACGTGACTCTTGCTTCCATTCAGCTTGTCCTGCGTCACCTTGTAAGAATGCAACTTATCCACCAACTTGGAAGCAAAACTGTGTGATAATTTGATACTGATAAAAATCTGCTGTCATGACAGTGAAGGACAAAATGATGGGCTTAACTTTCAAAGTGAAAATTTATATGGGACCACAGCTGAACAGCAGAATCTGCCTGTCAGTCACAGTAAAGCACTGAGTCCCCTGGGCTCTTGAAGAGGAAGTTTATCTTCATAAAGATTTCCATCACATTACAGAAAATTACAGCATTTGTATTATGCTGTAGCACGTCTTTGTGCTTCTTGCAGCTACTCTACTCTTCACATGTTTGTTTGATTAGCCATTTTTTGCATACCAGCACTGGCTTCCAAGTCAGATAACAGTATTAAAGATGTGTATGAGTTACAGTACAATAACCTCCCCTTGTGAATTAACCACTTGTTCTTATGAAGCTTCCCTGATTAAATATGACCTGAAACCAAGAATACAATGAGAAACAAGTCCCAAAAATTTCCTGGACATTCCAGTGCTCCGGCTCCGAAGTCTGCTCTCCTCGCGTCTGCCGTCAGTTACAGTGGATCTCTGCCATGGAATTCTTTGCTCTCTTAAATTAAACCCTTCACCAGACCCAGCTGGTTCACAAAGCAGAGAGCGAGAGAGAATGAGAGGGGAGAAAGGGGGAGGAAAATGGAGGGGATGGAAAGGAGCGAGCAAATATTTCTCTCGCTTCTCATGTTTGGCTTTCTCCATTTGCTGCTATTAACACCTCATGTCTGGTCTGCACAAGCCCTTAGACACCAACTGGAGAGGAAAGAGTGAGAGGAAAGAGACAAGGATGGTTAAACCGACAGAGGAACGGTAACAGAAAAAGACTGTGCGCCGAAAATATTGTTTTGATTAATGTCTCTTGTATTCCTCTGGTCCCGAAACAGAGAATTACCTTACCTAACCCCAACGGAGAATGAGCAAGAAGTGCAGAGATTGAAACCAGATATTTCTGTTCACACTGGCTCACATCCATCACTTGTTCTGGACTTGTGTTTGAGAACATGACTGGTGACTGAAAGTACTAGCCACACTGTCTGGCCAGTTTTAATCCAGCGTAAGTCTTCGGTTTAAATAGCTATCTGCAGGAAGCATGGCTGCCTGTCCTTCGTCACGTTTTCATTCCATTGAAAAACAAGATTCCCTCTTCTTTGCCGGAGAAGCTTTAAACTCATGTACCCACAGTGAAATCATTTTTAAACAAGCGACGGCAAATTAATCACCCACCATTGCTAGGCAATGCTCAATTATTCATAACCGCAGCACAGCAGATTTCACCTCAACAACCTGTTTGTGCACTTGCCACTTCACAGCTCAGAGCCAGGGGTCTTTTCTCAATGGAAACTGGCTGGCAAACAGTGTTTCTGTCACATTTCTTTTTTTCAAGGTATCTAAATGGAGGAAACTTTGATGCACTGCTGCGCCGCATCACTTACCTTCCAGTTTACTTGGCCCCCAGTCCTCCCTCCTGTGTTGTATTGGGTTTCTGTGCCGTTTAGAGCACAGGCCTTCTTTGGGTTCTTTTGTCTAAGGTCCAAATGCAATTGGGGTTTCAAGTAGTCTCTCGAGCTTTTTATTACGACTCGAGAGTCACTGAGAAAATTCAGAGCTGTATTAATGTACAGAAGTCCTTCAGCTTGACAGTAATCAGCCAAATATTTGGAGCGGCACCAAAGAAAAATGATGATTTGATATCAGGGTAACGGTGCAGGCTTTCCAAGTGTGCAGACCATGACAGCAAACAGCAATGGTGTGGACTCCCGCTAATGCGTGAGCTAAGTCAGGTCTATTTGTGTGAGCTGACGTGCTGTAATAGTAGTAGTCCAACAAAAGCCTGCTTGTTTGGACTCAAAAGATGGTGTAAATATAGCTAAACAGAGGGCTTTTGTACAAAACTCAACCCTCCATCTCCCAAAGACACAATCAGTGGATGAATGCCAAACTGCCAAAAGTCCAGATTTTGTTAGCGTGTCCTCTCTCTTTGAGCTCAAACATACACAACCTCCAGGGTAGCTTTTTTAAAACTGTAAAGCATTGTATTTTCCTACGCTCCAGTGATGTCAGAATTACAGAAAACGAAGCGTTTCTTCTTTTCTTTCTTCTCTAAACTTTGCCTCTGCCCAAGGCCTGCACTCATACCCTCTCGCTCACACACACACACACACACACACACACACACACACACACACACACACACACACACTCAGAAGTATTCTGTGTGTCTGGATTGTGTCTCATGATCTCAATCAGACAGTTGAGCTCAACCTGGCAGATGCTGGACAACCTTTAAAACCGCTGCCAGGTTGGGCTGTGCATGTGCGAGCACAGGTGGGCCAGATGATGGATGAATAAGCTAAAAACCTCCAGGGTCCTACCTGTCTTCACTCTTTTCAAGTCTTTGGTCCCCACTAACATGCGAAAGCCTCCTCTTGCTGTAATCTCACACCTACAAACATGCCTCAGATTGGCCAGTGAGACAGTCCAGTGCTCTTAGTGTAAAGGAACACATCAAACCAGACCTTTAACGCTTCCATTTTTATGCCAGTTCTTTAACATTTCTGGTGTGCATTGCTTACTGATAAGCTCGAGACAAATAATTCCTCGTGTCAGCCGAAGACACATTGGGAAAAGGAAAGCCCAGGATCAGAGAGATTTATATAAGAATTGATTACTTCGAGGTGTGGCTGGGGATGGTTGAGCAATCGAGGGGAATCAAGCTGAAAGCGTTGAAGGAGATGAATTATCACAAGGACGCTCAGCTTAGCCTTTGGACTCATATTGCATGCTAAGTCTAGTTGCCAAACCCTTTGCAAGGCCGATGCCCACATTTGTTTTGACTCAGTCATGAAACTTTACTCTCCATCTTCCCCTCTGTCTCCCGCCCTCCACTCCGAATCTCGCCTTCTCTCCCCCCTCACTCAGCTCATTTCCCATGCTTACTCGTTCTCACCCCGAGATTATTTTTTGGCATACAAGCGTTGATGAAAATAAATTCCTTGGTCGACTAGCCCATTGGCAGCATCCAAATTTCTTCTGGTTTCGAAAACAGTCATTACTCCGACCTGTTTGTCTCTGATAAAAGAATTTGGTTAACTCACAGCTTCTTTTAATTCAACTCTGTGAAATACAGCTCTGACATTAATGTTCCTAACATGTTTTAAAACATCCATTCCCATATGTTAACGCCAAGTAATAGGCATTTATCACTTTGGCAGTTGTCTGGAGATACTTAAGTTCAACATAATGCATCTAGATGTGAATAAAATTACACCATCTTGAGGGGTTTTTTTTCTTCTTCTTCTTTCTGTTTAAATTATAGCATGTTTTGTATCTTAAGAAATCTAACATATAAAGTTAAGCAGGGATTTTATAATCTATTAAATTACCTTTTTTCCCAATGATTTAAAGCCACTAAATTCAAGCAATCTAAACCTTTGTCTGACTGTACTTTCCAGTGTTGAATTTTCTAAATATGCTTTCTTAAGAGTCAGAGCTAAGGCAAAGCAGAATCTGTTTTCTGGAGCTTTTTTAATACTAATCTAGTCTCTTATGATCAATAGGCAGGTGGCGAGCATTTTTTCTTTTGCTCTTTCCCCACGTTCTTCTCACATTGTTTGTTCCTGTCTGCTCGCAGGGATGTGGCTTTATTCATGTGTCAAGTGAAGCCAAAAAGATTAGTTTGGGTATTTAGGGGCTCAAAAAGTGCAGACTGCTCCATCCAGTGTTTAGAATTAAACATAACCAGATAGGGAACCAATTTTTTTTATGGTATTTCTCTCATGCGTTTTAGCCAGTTGGGGTCAGCTTTATCCCATGTACCCAAAGTAAAGTCCTTGGCTCTAAAAACATACACACAAGTGTTTTCAATCAGATTTAATTGGGCACACATGACATTATATCTTATGCCATGACATTTATTTTTTTTACTGTATGGTGCGCTGTACTCACAGGTCTTGGAAAATGTTTGAGTGATGGCTTATTTTTCTTTAGGAGTAACTACTGCTGGGTAAACCACATCTAACTCATTATAGCCACATTGAAAGAAAACTGTGTGCTTTTCTTTCATTTGTTATCATCTACACACTTCAGTCCGTTTGTGAACTGTCACTTTTTTATCATCCAGGATATGGAAATCTAGGAGGTGGCGGCCTGGGGCCTGGAGGCTATGGAGGAGGTGAGCTGAAACTAGAACAGCTATGTGTATGTTAAACACAGGGGCAAAAACTCACTAACCTTTAACCTCTTGTGTCGCTTAGGTGGCTATGGGGGCTACTATCCGGGAGCTGGATCAAAGGCTGCTAAAAGCGGTAAAATGCAGGGCAGAAAATGTCTTGGTAGAAATGTAACATCGGCGGCTAATAAAAGAGTGATGGCATCAGCGAACAATTTTTCCTTGATTTCTCATTAAGTGCAGTGGAAACTGGAGGTTAATCAGATATGATTATGGGATATTGGCTGTTGGAACGAGACACCGTTTATGTTTCAATTACTTGTTTTGATTACTGAAGCGATATTATGCTTCTTTTGAAATTCAGTCCTGATATCTGAGGTCTAAAAATGCCTCAGGACTTTAAGGTCTGAAGTAACTTCCAGGATTACAGTGAGACATTCCTGCAGAGGTGGGATGAGCTTGTCTGCCATGTGAAAGCTTGTTGTTAAACAGAAACATTGCCTCCCTCTTATGTTAAATCTGTTTTGGTTTGGATAATTGTAAACTGACATTACCGATGTCACTGTAATCTGTTAGGTTCTGTCCACTAAACAAAAAAACAACACGCATTCACAGATGAGGCTCCTGCATGGATCTGAAGTGCATCTGAAATTCTGGTTGTCCTGCTCACAGGTGCAGGAGGCAAACTCATGTTTTGGCCCGTTGACAGACTACTGTACAGACCAGACTGACACTGACTGAAGCGTTTTGAACTCTGAAAGATCTGCATGCTCAAATGTTAGGAGAAAGCCAAAGTGAATGTTTCACATTAATGGTAACTCGGCATGGAAACACAGTTTGGCAAACATGCGTACATTTTTAGCATGTACTTGCAAACCTTAGACAGTGTGAACCTCAGCAGAGCCTGGCCTGACCTGAAAGTCTGTGCTGTATTCAGACACATGATTTGCCTTAAATTAGTACAGCTGATTAAAAATGAAGTCAAGAGGGCTCAATCATGGCCAAGACTTGACTATGGCACAGAGCCTACCGTTAAGTATTGATTGGCAATGGCAAGAATCAGTCTGTATTGTTTTCATGACACTGAAAATAACAGGTCCTTCCTCTGAAAGAGCACAGATAAAACAAAACATTCCCTTGCCAGAGTTTGCCTCACCAGTTCCCCCAGAACGCATACTTACAGGCAGTGCGCAATGTCTGTCCAATAAAGTGTGTGGACTTTAAGATAAAAAAAAAATTAACCAAATAAACCATTGTGTTTTATCCAGCTGCCAAGCTCCCTTGAAAGTGAAGCTGACAGCTCATTTCCTGCAGGAGGGGTTAGCCAGCGAAATGAGGCATTTGATGAAGTGAGGAAAATGCCATGCATGCTGGCTGCCGTTTCTGATTAAAGCAAAAGTCAAAAGCCATGTTGCTTTTGGTCACGGGGGTGATGATAAACTGCAAGGCCCAGATTAGCTGCTCTCATTACCGCTGACCAGCAAGCGGACCTGCCACAAGCCACAAAGCGACTCATTGCTCATCTTTAGTGGCACAGGGCCCTCTAGTGGTGTTGGGATGTACAACTGTACAGTGGTACAAAGCATCTTATTGGTGTCAAAGACTAACACTGAACTGAATGTGACTTCAAATGTATGTTTATGTCTGCATATGAACAGGGGTTGGAGGAGGAGGAGGTCCTGGAGTCACTGGAACTGGACCTGGACTGCCTGGTGGAGGCAAGGCACACACCTAATATCATTTTCCACCTTTTCTAATTTTTTTTTCATTTTATTTTAGCTCTGATTTCTCGAGTAAAATTGAAAGCCAGTCTTACTTTTGTTAGGTACTCACTAGAATAGATTGTATATAATACATTTTCTAATATATAATAGTAAGAAAGAAAGGAGTCATCTGTGTGAAGGGGCAGAAATCCCAGTTTGGCCAGGATGTGTGTGTTCTGGACACTGTGTCTTTTTCACACTCCTTTCTTTAAGCAAAATAATATTATGGCTTCTTTTCTTTATTTTTTTTTCAGCACCTGTTATTCCTCAGACCGGCCTTCCTGGAGGTGGTGGCGCAGGAAAAAAAGCTGCCAAAGTGCCAGGTTTTGTAGACTCAACAATAAACTCAGAGTGAAGACAGACAGGATGCAGCCCACCAGGCAGTGCAGCCACATCAAAAATATTTACCAACAAAACATATAAATCTGCAAAAAAACCCCAGAAAAGCTTATATAGACAGTAGTGTGCAAAAGTCTTGCGTTACCACTCGTTTCTTTATATTTTGCTAATAAAATGTGAAACATGCGCAGTAATTTATTAAAACATGTCCAAACATACATGAAAATACAGGATATAGCGTAAAAACAGAGATCTTGAAAGTCAGTTGTGGTATGTCCAGCTTTATACTTTGGCACAGCCTGAACTCTTAGTCAAAATTTCTTGTAATTTCTTGTAATTTAAAAGTAACCTTCAGAAATAGCTCTGAAGGACATTCAGAGCTCTCCTCTGGATGTTGGCTTGCTTTTGTTCCATTCTCTGTCAAGATGATTAATGTTAAATAATGTTGAGGTTTGGGCTCTGAGAAGCCAATCCATGACTGATAATACTTCATTATTTGTTTTTCTATTCACATATGCTTCTCCTGCCTTAGCAGTAATTTGGGGATCACTGTCATGAAGCCAAATGAAGCCATTCCCAGTCAGACATTTTCCAGATGGTATTGCACAGTGGATCAAAATCAGACTCTTCTGCTTTGATAATTTCATAAGGTTTAACAAGATTCCCAACCCCACTGGCTGAAAAGCAGTTCCAAACCTGTGTTCTCCTGACCTGAACCAAAAATGTCTTATTTTGAATTATTACTCCATATAAGACCAGCCCAGTTCTTGTGTAGTTTAGCATACGTCAGTCTTTTCTCAGTAAACATCATATCTCAAAAGACGTCACCAGACATGACTTCCAGTTGCTGTTCATCTGCTGTAGATAAAGTTTTAGGTCTGCTGGTTCTTTTTTTGTCTTCTTTGTCTTTGTCTTCCACTTGTCCAGTTTCCTCACTGTTTAAGGACACACTGCACACCATGCTGACACATGCCAAGTTTTCAGTTAGTAGCTCTTTGAGAATCACTTAGTTGCTGTAAAAATACAAGTTGTGTTGTCTTTAGAAATTTGTTTTTACAAATTCAGCTAAAGAAATGGGAATGTATTGAGTGTTTCTGTGACGGGTGATAGTAACAAAGTCCCTAAAGATACATTTTAAAATTGATTGTTCGCTACACACTGCACTGATTCATTCATTGAATTAAGGACTTCTTTCTGCTTGGGCAGTTCATAGGTGATTAGGTGCTTTAAAAAACAAAAAACATTCCTCTGAAAACAGTCAGGTGCAAGACGTGAACTGAAAATGAAAGATGAAGAAGTATTCCCTGCTTTAAAAACATAACAAGAAAGTGCCTTAGAAGCAAAATATCGTATAAAGACCTGATGGGAGGCTCAAGACTTTTGCACAGTGTTGTACATAAAAGCAAAGGATTATACTGAGTCTTGTCAAATGTCGCCTTAGAAAACAGCAAATCAACATTCTTTCAAAAGAGAATTCCCCTGATAATATATTAAATGTAAAGGCATTTTTACATTGCTGAAATAAATTTCGATGAAGGTGAGCTATCAGTGTATACAGTATAATTCATTTAGTTATAGAGGTGAATTCAATTTGTATCAACCAGGCAAAGGCTCAATGTGTAAGCATTTTCCGCTTCCCATTTGGCTTATTTTTCTTTTTGTGGTTTTCGGACATCTAAATGTTCACCGTCAACACTGCTGTTGATCCCTCACATATATTTAAACATGGGTGTCTTCTCATTGGCTGTGGCAGGTGTGGGTGTACCTGGCCTTTATCAAGGTGGACTGGTGCCTGGACAAGGTTTGACTCTTTCATATATTAATCTGGGGAACTTTTACTCCTTTGTTAGTTTCACCATGCAGACTGTCAGTCATTTAAAGACAACTGCAGGAATGTCTGGTTTCTTCTGTCATCTTCAGGGTTTGGTGGACGTGGAGTTCTGCCTGGAGTGCCCACTGGGTCTCAACTCAATCCCAAATCAAGTAAGTTCAAGTTTTTACTGATGGGTGTCAGCTGATTTATTTTCAGTTTTATTTCATTGCCAGTGAATCCCAAAAATGGTAAATACCAGCTCTAAAAAGGCTTACACTACTGACAATCCTTCACAGACAATATTTGTAGAGTTCCCAGTGTAAGACATACTAAACAAATGTACATGAATAAGTAAAAGTGCTGGTGTGGGTCCAGAGAGTAATGCCGTAGCACTGTGATGCATGGTTCCAGTGTGCTTTGCTTCGTCACTGCAAAAATCTTCATGTGTCTCACTGGAATATCTCATTTTTCTTATGTAGTTGCAGGAGGAGTAGGAGGAGGACAGCAAGGTAACTTTATCAATGATTGTTTGTTATTGTACAAGTAAATATTTCTGGGGGGGGTTATCCACTCTGTCTGCTATTATCTAACCCAGATTTAAATGTTTTTCTTCTTCACAGGTGTCCGTGGGTATGGGGGACCAATGCAGCCAGGAGTGTTCCATGGATACCCCCTCAAATCACCCAAAGTGCAAGGTGTGACATGAAATTATTCAGTGTTTGCATTAATTCTTCTACAGGCATGTGGCATAATATATAATTTTGTGGTTTAATCCCTGCTAATGTTAAATAACTTTAACATCAGCAGGATTATTATTATCATTTTGCAGACTACAGTCTTACTTATCTTATACTTAACTGTACTCTAAGATTTTCTGTGGCAGGTTTAGCACTGTGTTATTCTAATGAGAGAAGAGTGTATTTGGGGTCTCAGACACATTGCTTTTGTTTTGTTCGTCTTTCTGAAACCGAACCTTTGTGTTCAGGAGCTCAAAAAAGTTGTTTCTGTTCATCTGGACGTAGCGTTTTCAGTTTGAGAAAGGCACTGGATGAGTGAAGAAACATTTCTCCCACTGAAAACACTACGATCAGGAGAAACAGAATCAACCTTTTGTGTTGATTGTGTTCACCTGAACGTAGCGTTTGCATATGATGATGTGTGCACATATAAAATAATTCCAGCCTCTGTTTTTCACTCTCTCTCTCTTTAGGTGCCTATGGAGCAAAAACTGCAGGTGGAAAACTTACATATGGTAAAAATAAGTTTATTCTTTGAAGTTAACATCTTTGAAGTTTGGTTTCAGTGGAAATTCACCATTTAGTGATCGGCGTTGTATCCATGCATCAGGTTATGGCGGCTTTAATGTTGCACCTGGACTGCCAGGAGTGCAAGGTGGCCCTGGGTCGAAGCCAGGATATCCTGTTGGAACTGGTAAAAGTTTTCACAATTTGTTTCCCTACGAGATGTGGAGTAGAGATATAGAATTCACTTTTTTCCTTTTTTTGCAGGAGTGGGACTTGGGGTCATTTCACCTGGTCAGGGTAAAGTTGTTCAGTGTAGTAGTTTACCATACTGATTGAAGTAAATGCTTCCTGTAAAATCAGTATGTCTGCATGTAACTGGACTTTCTGCATTCTGCTCCATGTTTAGGTGGTACTGGAGGCTTTGGAGCTGGTGGTGGTGGCTTTGGTGGCACTGGTGGGCTGTATCCAGGCCAGGTGTCAGGAGGTACGATATCTAGCACTTGGCAAGAAAGAAAATTGCACACCAGCACACATGCTGAAAAAAGTCACACAGCTGTCAAATGAACTGTAAGATGATGGGAAAAGTAAAGATTTATTTGCAGGCCAATGAATGGAAAAAATAATATTCGTGGGTTAGCTCCATATGATCATCTTTAACACTTTCATGCATGAATTATGACAACCTCAATCAGGGTTTTCTCTTAAATATTTGTATTCATCTTTAGGCATGAAAAAAAGATTTTTGAACTTAATTTTTTTAAAACATGTACTTTTCAAAGAGTTTGTTACATGTCGACTTAGGTGGACAACAGACATTTTGACTTATGAATTTGACACACGAATAAATAATACACACTGTGTAAAAACTATAAAAATAATTTTTTTTTATAAAAAGATGAAAAAAAAAAATATATATATATATATATATATACGTGTATATATATATATATAATATATATATATATATATATATATATATATATATATATATACATATATATATACGTATATATATATATATATATATATACATATATATACACACACAAATACAAGAAAACAGCCTTTGAATAGCTGTCCACTATAGTGACCACTATGCATGAAAGGGTTAACTAACTAGCACAAATATTTCACACCATACCTTACACCTTGTTTTATTTTGTGCTTTTTAAAATAAATAAATAAATGTTCTTCATTTACTCAACTTTTATCATATGACTCACTATCGTTATGTTGACGACAGGGTATGGAGCTGCTAAGGCTGCCAAATATGGTGAGAATGTTTGTTTTTCCTTATCTGGGAAAAAAAATACTTTTAATCATTTTTCATACTTTTTTCATGCATTTTTTCAGTAGAGTGAGAAAAATATAACTTAACTAATATAAAATTATGTTACATTACATGGAAAATTTATTTACATGGACAAATTACACATATGCTTTTGTCAGGAGTACCAGGAGGTGTACCTGGGGGAGTACCAGGAGGTGTACCTGGGGGAGTGCCAGGAGGTGTACCTGGGGGAGTACCAGGAGGTGCACCGATTGGAAGAATTCCAGCGGTTGGTGGATATTCACCAGCAGCAAAAGCTGCTAAATATGGTACGCTTTATTATTTGTGGAACTGTTACAAAGAAAACTAACTAACTAATGACATTTTCAGTGGAATAACAGAAAAATTCTTCAAAAAAATTTCTGTCTCACCGACTTCTAAGACCATGATTTTCAATCTACAGGCAACATTTATCACCAAATTGAAGGAAAAAATGATGGCAAAATATTTGTGGGGTGGGACCTGGCTCAAGTAGAAACATGGAGACAAATAGGGACAAATGGAGGGGGGGTGGGAGAAAATAGATCAATGGAAAAATAGAAATAAGGGGACAAGCACAAATAGGAGAATACTATCCTTTTAGCAAAGCTGAAAGCTGCTAAATGTCGTATGCTTTATTAATTGAATTTTACTATTTATTTTGTGAACTTTTTAAACATTATATCAAACTGTAACCTGTAAATGTACTTTTTTAAAAAGTGCATAATTTTTTTTTCTATTCAAATTAGGCACAGGAGGGCAACTAGGAACAGGACAACTAGGAACAGGGCAACTTGGAACAGGAGGGCAACTAGGAACAGGACAACTAGGAACAGGGCAACTTGGAACAGGAGGGCAACTAGGCACAGGAGGAGGATATTATCCTGCAAGCAAAGCTGCCAAATACGGTATTATTAATAATTGTTTTAATTTTTATTGTGAATTTTCTGACATCATGCCAAATTTGTAACTTCTAAAGGCACTTATATTTTGTCTTTTTTTTTTCTTTTCTTTTTTTCAATTTAACCGCATGTGGGACAGGGGGACAACTTGGAACGGGACAACTTGGAACGGGACAACTTGGAACGGGACAACTTGGAACGGGACAACTTGGAACAGGGCAACTAGGAACTGGAGGAGGATATTATCCTGCAAGCAAAGCTGCTAAATACGGTATTATTAATAATTGTGTTAATTTTTATTGTTAATTTTTTAACATCATGCCAAAAAATGTAACTTCTAAAGGTATTAAAAATGTGTCTTTTTTCAATTTAACTGCATGTGGGACAGGAGGGCAACTTGGAACAGGCCAACTAGGAACAGGCCAACTAGGAACAGGCCAACTTGGAACAGGCCAACTAGGAACAGGCCAACTAGGAACAGGAGGGCAACTTGGAACAGGCCAACTAGGAACAGGCCAACTAGGAACAGGACAACTAGGAACAGGACAACTAGGAACAGGAGGGCAACTTGGAACAGGGGGAGGATATTATCCTGCAAGCAAAGCTGCCAAATACGGTATTCTTAATAATTGTGTTAATTTTTATTGTGAACACTTTTAACATCATGCCAAAGCTGTAACTTCTAAAGGTATTTTATAATGTGTTTTTTTTTTTTTAATTTAACTGCATGTGGGACAGGGGGACAACTTGGAACAGGAGGACAACTTGGAACAGGAGGACAACTTGGAACAGGAGGGCAACTTGGAACAGGAGGGCAACTTGGAACAGGAGGAGCATATTATGCTGCAAGCAAAGCTGCCAAATACGGTATGCTCTTAACTGTATTATTGTCTGCATGCTTTTAGCCCATCGGGTCGAAGGATTCCCATCGAGTTCTAGCAACAATGATTTTGCCGTTTCATGCACAGTTTTCTAGTGTCACACGAATCACTGGTCCTCCTAGAGTATTGGTCAACGAAACAAGTTTGAATTGACTGTTTCTGAGCCTCCTTACTTCTCACTGGATTTTAATTCTCTTTGGTTTGTGCAGTATAGCCAACCAATGATAACAAAACTGACATCTTGGTTTAACATTATCTCAAGCAGTATTTTAAAAAAAGCTACTTATGTCTTCAAAAGTAAATATTTTGTCTCTATTTAACCCCTTGGGCAACAACTCCATCAAATATTGCCAATTTAACTTCAATCTGAACAAAAAGGCAAATAAGAAAGCAAATAACAGCTATAAAATAACGAGTGACTGACAGAGATGTTACTGAACCACCTTTAAAAGTTCTCAAATACAACTCAGAAAATTCATGATTTACGATATTAAGTGAGAAAAAAATGTTAGTGACCAAGAGGCTGCGGTTGGAGGGAGTTTACCATTTAAGCCACTTTAAAAGTATTTTCCAGCTTCTGATGGCTGTTTGGAAGCCTCAGACTCCACCACAGTCTGTTCCAAGTGATACATTTGGATTTGGGATTTTTTTAACCTCTTTGAAACTGAGACTTTTTTTTCATTTTGGGAAAAGTTTCTTTAATTAATAATTAATTTTATATTTTTTAATTTAACAATGTTTATTTATCTTTAACAATACAGTTTTATTCCACAACAAAAACATGTATTAGTAAGACTCTTTTCCGCTGGGAAGTGACATGGCGGTCCTGCCATTTCCTTCGGATCTTCTCCTCTCTCCGTTCACGTTTGACCTCATCTAGCATCTGCTCCTCTTCCTAGAAAAAAGACAGAAAGAAAAACACCTCCCTCGCCCAGCCTTGATTATTAATATGATCTAACAATTTGTCGTGGAAGTTTCCATTTAATAAAGCCTGCAGAGAAACAGTGAGCGGTGCCTGAAACCTTTAATCAAAAAAGAACAGAAATCCAGGCTTGGGGAGAGAAGCCATCCTCGCTGACGGTTGGCAGAGTCTCTCCCTGAAGCCAGCAGGGCCCTGAGTTTAAATACCATCATATCATTTAAATAAATGAAAAAAAGAAAAACAATTCCAGATTAAATAATTATATTTTTCCTTAAAGGTCAAGGTGGTGGAGGGTTTATTCCAGGTGTTCGTGGAGGTGGTGGAGGAGGATTTTTACCAGGATATGGATGTAAGCATGCCACGTGGACATAATATTTTTAGATATTTCAAGGATTCAATTATATTTTTCAATCTTATTCACGTTGTCCTGATAATCTTACCTTTTGTCCTTACTTTGGTGCAGCTTTGGCAGCCAAACCTCCTAAATATGGTGAGACTTTGATATTCACAGTTTGGTACCTCATAATATTTGCCAAACGTATTCCACCTGTACAAGTCTATCAACATATTAATACATAAATCCAGTGATACAGTTTTTGTTAAAGGTTGTGCCTTTAATGCAATATTGGATTTAATTTGGTTTGTTAAAGCTGTGCTGACACATTTTATAGGAGTGCCAGGAGCAGGCCTAGGAGGAGGGGTTGTCCCAGGAAGAGGAGGGGTTTTCCCAGGGGGAACAGGACAGGTAGTCCCTGGTGGTGGATTGGGTGGTAAGTCGCTAAAGGTTTGGGGGTTTTTAAAAGAACTTCTTCTCTGTCGTTTGTGATAATTCAGCAGCAAACTTTGTTTGGTTTCTTACAGGTTTTGGAGGTGGTGCTGGAGTCAAACCACCAAAGTATGGTAAGGCTTTTGTTTTGATTACACTCTAGAATAATATGATGAAAATAACACCAATGCAATATGGAGAGAAATACTAAACTGTATTAGCAGCAGTACGTGGATCACACTCCCCTGCTGCAAAAACTTCTAAATTAGGAGGCAGAAATAAGTATAAAACTGCATAAATCCTGCACGTTGAGAAATATTTCCTCGGGCATGAATGTATTCTCACTCATTAATCTAACTTCACTTTAGATTTTAATACTTGAACTAATTGTACCACCTGCACTAATGTAGGAGTTCCTGGAGGAGCCGGAACAGGGCTAGGACCTGGAGGAGTTCCTATTGGAGGATCAGGAGTTGCAGGTGGACCGTACTCCCCCGCCGCAAAAGCTGCTAAATACGGTACAGTGAAACGACCACACAAGCATATGAGTGCTGCAAAATATTGGACACATTTCCTTGATGATTCTGAGAGAAAGAGTACAGTTTTCTGTCACTTCAAGCATTTTTCACTTAATCGTTTCTATAAATTTTTATATTGTCTTAGTTGCAAATTAATGATGCAGCTGGTTCTGGTTCTTTTGATTAGGAGTTGGAACTGGAGGTCTACCTGGAGGTACTGCATGAAAACACCAAACAGCCATTGAGTGTGATTATAGAATTCAACTAACATCAAACAATGTCATGATATGAGTATTAATGACATTGTGTTTTTACACAGGATTTCCAGTTGGAGCAAAAGCACCAAAATACGGTAAGGAGAACCTCAAAACTAATAGAAAAAGCTACATTGTTTTATAATAAAGATGCAAAGATGCAGAAGTTGGTTAAAAGATAAAATACCAAATCACAGCCAATTACAGTCAACTGGAGTAAAGCTTCATCCACCAATGACATCAGGTATCAGGGTCCATGTCATGATGGGAAACAAGTTAGGGTTCTGGCAAATTATAGACAGAATTTGGATGAATTTAAAATGTTGTATCATTGCAGTAGTTCCAGGAGTGACTCCATACACACCTGTCAGTTTTCCAAATGGCTCTGTTGTACCTGGTCAATTAGTTCCTGGAAAACCAGGTAAAGCTTAGAGAACAGCTTCTTGTTTGTTTGTTTGTTTGCACCTTTTCATAGTTGTAAATTTTAAATGATCCATTATTGCTTCCACAGCAAAGGATGTCAGTGGAACTCCTCAGCCAGGTACGGTGAAATGTCACAGCTGATTACATACTGTATGAAAGGAGGATTGTCTGCCACAGTTAGAGTATTTCTATTATACAGCAAATGTAAAAAGTTAACAGCAAACTGAAGAGATTTGTGGATTTTCATTTTTAAGTCTCAGAAGCTTATTGAGAGCTTCAGCACACTGCTTGCACGACTTTACCAATAAAACACGCACACGGCTCGACCTGCCACGCCATTTTTTTCCTTGTTTTTAACAGTTGCTCTCTACTTTGTGGTAAACGTATTTGCCCCTTCACTCCTTTTCTGCCCACACAATTTCCCAGTTTTAATAATATTGCTACAAGCCGTTGACCACCTCCAGCTTTACAGCCTCCAAGCTGTGGCAGTGCTTTGGTCCACTTCACAGCTTCTGCCTTTTCTTGTGGCTCTCACTCTGTGCCCGTGGAATTCACACTGGATCAAACTGGTACTTGTCATCTTTTTGGCAGAGCCCACTGATATTGCCACAACTGGCAAGACCCCAGAGGTCCCAGATCCCAGTAAGACTCGGTTTGCTTGAAGTCTTTGACCATAAATTAAATTATAAGGCATTTATTTGATGTTTGCAGTTATAGTTGAGTTTTGATCTAATATATATATTTATCTATTCAGTATTTGAGAATGTGATTTAGATTTTTTGAGATGATTTGGACCCTTTTTGCTTCTGTCTTGATAATTATGTCTATTTATTTAAATCAAATTATTACATCAAGAAATTATGCCTTATGAGAGTGTTTATAATTTATACAAAGCTAAATTAAATTTTCCAGGATTTAGAGAGTTCACTTTCTCAAATACTATTTGGAAATACTATAGAAATGTCTCATGAGCATGCATTAGCTGTAGTAAGTAGCACTCCACTTCTTTTTGGGACTGTAAAGAATGGGAACCAATTACCTTTTTTACAGTATTATATATATACTCTGCTAAAGGGAAGCAGCATTATGTACTCTGTCAAATACGTGAGAGAGCTGTCTCACATATAGTGCCTGGACACTGTGCTTCACAAAGTCCTGAAAGAAAAGTCGTTTTAAAGCAGACCTATTATGCTTGCTTCAAGCTCCAGAGTTTTATTCTTGGACTATATAGAGTAGTTTTGAATCAAAATTATTCTTTGTTACCTTATTTAAGCATTAGTGCACCTCAGTTTTAGCTATTCTTCCTTTAAGCCAACCTTCTTCTGATTGGCTGCCCCTCACTAAAAGAAGACTTCAGCAGCAGGTGGGTGGAGCTTCTATGCAGACAGCCAGAGCTGCGTGTCTGATATGATGTCCCTCTTTGACATCATACAGATCCAAGAGTAGGAAAACTGTCTGAAACTGAGTATTTAGAGCACAATGAAGGCTTTTGGTTTAGGCTTATTTAGTTTTATAGGGGTTAAGACTTCTACTATTCACATCACCAAAATAAATAAGTGAACACATAAAAATAAAAAGAACGGCAGCATAATAGGTCCACTTTAACCTGTCTTGCCTCTTCAACTTCCTGTTAGTGTTGCATAATTTGGGGCTGCTTTTTTTTTTCTTTCTCTACCATTTACTCGACTTGTGCACTCCTTTACTTTTTACCTCACAGCTTCCTGTGCTTGATGCATTGCTTTCATTATAGCGTCATTACTGCAATTTGTGTACTATTAACTACATTAGTCCTGCATTAGGGAACGGGTAGATTAATGGGTAGCGATCTTTTCTGTTTTAATTCCTCATATTCTCCACAGAGGTTTGTTTAGGAACATGACTACTTGTGCACATAGTTTGACAGTTTTTTGTGATATTTACACAGTTTAAGTTTGTAAAATCACTGCACTTAAAGTCCTTTATTATTAAATAAACACTGAATAAATTGAAAAGCAGCTACTTTACACTTTTTATTAGATTAGTTGTTTCGTAGTTGCATGAAATCCTAGAAGATTACGTCTTGTATTTATTTCCTTGCATTCCCAAATCCAATTAATGGAAACCATTGATTTTGTTGATATTAGTTGGGCTCATCTGAAAGGACAAAAAGTAAAAGGCACTTTTCTAACTTTTTTTCTTTCTTTCCTCTCGTGGTGGATGGGTGAACACAGGTGGTAAGTTGGAAACAAACATGCAGGTTTTTGCTTCATTTGATTCTCACGTGTGTCTCTTTGTTTTAATAAATGTTATTTCTGACTCCTCTGACAGTTTCTGGTGGAATTGTTCAGCCTAGTGGTAAGTAGTTCACATTAATCCTGTAAATCCTTGTTAACAGTGAAAGTATGCTTACTGTGCTTATCTAAACATTATTATACTTTTTCTTTTTTTTACTTTACAGCTGGCACAGGTGTTGGTAAATATGTCAAAATCCTCTCATACTGAAATATATCAAAAATACTCAGAGGTTCATGATTTGGGCTTCATTCAAACATTAAACGTGACAAAACTTTTACTTGTGTGTTTCCCGTGTGACAGTTGGAACAGGAGTTGACGCTCCCACTGGTGGTAAGAACAGTTTTTCTTTTTCCTTTCTGTACGTATTCAACATGTGCCATTAAGCAACTTATTTCAATGGATCTTTTAACAAAAGCTTGTAGCATCTGTTAATCTGTAAAGTCTATGACAGAGGTGTCAAACATAAGGCCAGGGGGCCAGAATTGGCCGAATCCGGCCAACTGGACAGCTTTAGAGGAGGGCATCAATTTTGTTCTTTTAACTGTATTTTCAGTTAAAACATTGTGGTTTATACGTAAGGGACAGTTTGGACAATGAGCTACCAGAACTTTTTTGTAATCTCCTTACAGTGTCACACTGTCAGATTTATTTCATTTACTACTACAGCATTTGTTTATATTATAACAATATTTATTTCTTATCTCTGGGATTAAATAGGCACTTAAACTTCTTTACACTAACAGCATGAGCTTTATGTAGCCCTTAAAGTGAAATGAGTTTGGTATACCTGCCCTATTACATTTATTATTACTGAAATTGCATTACTTGTCATTTTGACATATTTTAATGAATGTAACCGTTGCCTATGTTTCTAGTTGACACTTCACGCCAAGTTCAACCTGGTAAGTTTACATTTTTAATCAAAATTGAGCAAAATGTACTGATTAATTTGTAATTTACAATAAGAAAGAAAAAAAAGAAAAATAAGAGTTAAGTTTCACCCTATCACGCCTCACTCACTGGCCACAAAAAGGTGTTTTAACATTCCTCAGAGATTTTCGTCCATATTTACGTGATGGCATCACACATTTGCTACAGATTTGTTGACTGTACATGGATGATGGAAATCTCTCGTTACATCACATCCCAAAAATGGTCTATTCGATTGTGTACAGACAACTCAAGAGAAAAATGACAGGAGGCCAAGCTGAAGGTGTTAACTTTGGAGACAAAGTTAGAGAAGCGAGGCTGAGATGGCTTCGACAGTGAATATGCTGGACAAAGAATGTATTAAAAAAAATGGAGCTGCCCAGATAGAGGAAAAGAGGAGAGCAAAAATGATTGATATAGTGAATGAAGACATGCAGAGGGTTGGTGTGAGTGTGGAGGATGCTAGGAACAGGGTGGAGATGGAGGCAGATGATCCACTGGCCACACCTAAAGGGACTGCACAGATGTCCCTAATGAAGTGGCCAGTGAGTGTAATTCTACCCATTCTTGTGACTGTAATAGTTAAAGGAACTGTCACAGTCTGGCGAGGGCAGACTGTATGAATTGAAAAAGGACCCAAAACGCAGACGCCAAGGAACAGGGAACAGAACTTGAAATGTTAACAAAAGGCGAGCCGTTTAATAAGGCTAGTAGAAGAGGTACAAACAAAGGGCAAGGCAAACTGAAGCAAAATTAACACAAACCTAAACTGGGGAATCTAAACAAGCAATAAGAAAAACCTAGGCAAGAAACTTGGAAGCATGGCATGGGAAACATGGCGTGGACAACAGACGACCTGACAATCACACACTGAAAACAGAGGACTTAAATACACAGGAGGTGATTAGGGGAAGTGGAGACACATGAGGAAACAGCTGGCACACATGAACATAATGACGTCACAGTGGGAGAGTAAAACTGAACATGATGAACACAGAACACCAGACCTCTTCACAATAAAACAGGAAACATAATGAGACATAGACATGACAACCCGAACTTGACAACGTAAGACACAGACATGAAACGCATGAAGAGCAGGGGAGATTTAACATGGTTGGAAACACGAGGGGAAAATAATAACTAGAAACACTTAGGCATAATAATACAAACTTGATAACATAAGACACGCAGCATGAAACACGAAGGGTGAGGGGAAGCTTAAATACAGGGGAAGAAAACACAAGGAGTCTAATAACCAAATGAACTTAGATAACCTAATGAACAAAATAAACTCAAACTTAAAACGCTGGGTCAAGAGACCCAGGACCATGAAAGGAACTAAACACGATATGCTAAATTAAATTAAATGTATTAAAAATGTCAGAATAGTTGAGGATTTTAAATTAACTGATCAAACTGTTGTTTTCTAACTGGTTTTAATAGGTTTTCCTTTTTTTACCTTTCTTTTTTTCATCACCCATGTTGGGCAGTTTATTATTCTATCTGTTATTTTAACTGGAGTTCAACAACAAGTCAAATATTTATTATTTTATTGATTCAGGAGTACTGTGTTGTTTTAATCACTCAGTCTCCTGGATGTTTTCTAACTTAAAGTTCATGAAAGTATGCTGGATCCATCTGGCCACATGGTGGAGACCAATACAAACATACCCGCTGTGGGGCTTTTTCTCTTTGACTGTAAAAGTAAAAGGCGCGACTGTTTTCAGGTCCTGGTGTTGGAACAGTTGGAAAAGCACCCAAACCATTTATACCAGGTAAAGAGGAGCTAGATATTTTAACTATCACTCATTTGTATGATAAAGCATAAGATGTCTCTGATTCTCTTGCATGTGATCTGTTTATGTTTTCCTCACTCCTTCGCCACAAAATACTAGATGTGCATTTAAGGAGTTCAACTGAATATTGTCTGAATTTAGTACATAATATTTTAGCCATCTGTAGCTCACACCAAGCCTAGATGTTTATATCTGGATTTATACAGTTTGTAAATGAATTTGTATTTAAACGTTTCTAATTATTAGAGTTGTGCATTATATATATCATCAGTATGGCACAGTTAAATAACTAAATTGTGACATATCACAGATTAATTTCAACACTACTGTCATGTTTGCTGCTGCTGCTCATTACTTACACAAACACACAGATCTTACCCTGTCATTTTAGTCTCAATCCAAATATTGATTAATTTGTTTTTATAATCACATCCACTGTCAAGCTACACATGATGCATCCTTCTTAACGTGCACTCTCTGTGCAGACAGTTAACGATTCTTCAGCCTGGATCGATGAAACCAACAAAAAGCTGCATCAGGCCAATTATACCTGCAACAGACTGAATAGTCATCAGTTTTGTGCATCTGCTCGTTTGCACTTTTAGGGCATTTTACCTATTGTGCACTTTTTTTGCAAGCTTTGATGTAATTTTTTGAATAGAATTGTAAAACTGAGAAATTTTGTTGGTAACAGGAGACTCTCCTGATAGATAATTAAAAATAAAAACAAACATTTTTTTTACTAAGATTAAAACACACAATATGACAAAAAATTAAACGTTAAAATATTATAAACTCTCAAGATAAAGTATTTGTTACCTTTACATTTTTTGGATTAATGTAAAGGATCATCAATAACACTGTGATACCCGAATACAATCTGTTATTATTTTTGTTGACTGTTGATTTTGTTTCTCACTTTTGTCTGATGCCTATCGAGTAAATCTCCGTTTTTCCCAGTATTAACATGGCAGGGATTTGAAATTGCACATTATAACATGAAGTCTTCTGTTTGACGTTTACTCGTTTGTGCACTCAGGGTAAATGTTATGCCCAAACTGTTGATTTAACTAATTACATAGAAAATTTAATAAATGTAAATTTTCTGTGTAATTTTGTTACATAAGTACGTACACATTCAGTTTCTACAGAGTACATTTTATTTAATGATTAATCACTTGAATAAATAAACCTTTGATTTTTGGGGTCTTCTATTTTTACTCCCTAGGTACTGGCTATCCTTATGGAGCACCTTATGGAGGCAAGTTTCCTGTTTAAGTTTATTATGTTTTGGCTCTCATAGATTTTGTTTAAAGAGCAGTGAGGTATATTTCTACTCTTTTTGTGCTTTAGTACCTTTAGGCACTGGACCCGGAACTGGACCCGGAACTGGGCCTGGAACTGGAACACTGCCTGGAGCAAAGCCTCTGAAACCTCCAGGTACTCGAATCCATTTTTTCCTTCAAGCAACCAAACTGTTTTAGTAACTAAAACTACTTTTTAAATATACTATAAGACTAAAGCTGGTGCAAAAAACTTGCCTATAATCTTTTCTTTATCTATGAGAGACACTCTAATGTCTTATAATTATGGTGTAATCATTTTTATGCAAAACACAAAGTGGAAAGACACTGGATGAACAAAACCATTGTATGGTACGTCATACAGAACAAAATAAACAAAAAACATTTAAAAATGTAAATTCTGAATGAATGCATGTACAATATGTTTTATTTTAACACAAAGTGAGTAGTCAAAGAGTACTGAGATGTATGAAAGTTTCGACTGTCAGAATTGAAGAACTAATAATGGAATAATTAGATAAATACACAGCGTGATAACTGCTGTCATGTTCGTGTTTTTGCAGAAGCTTGTGCACATGCAGTCTCAGCATTGTTGTGTTTTGTGTTTGTAGCTGTGGGTGGTGTTGGAGAGAGACCAGGAATCCCACTGGCTGCAGGAGGTTATCAAGGTCAGTGAGCCCTAAGAAAATTTACTTGCAGGAAACTAAATTATTATAACGTATTAGTAATTTTTAATTGGGAAATAAGAGTGCATCCTACCCCCCGTCCCAATCCCTTTTTGTCCCCCATAAACCCCCCACCAGAGCGGCCAAAGGTTCGCCATCGAGCCCCACCCTCAACAGAGCAATCGAAGTCACATTGCCCAGCCTCGCCCCCCTTAGTTCCTCTTCATGCCCTGTCTCCGCAGTCTGATATGTGATATGTGAAGGGTCCGGGCTGTGAGGATTATGGCAGTGATGACTTTTCCCAGGAGAAGCTGGGACCCTGTTTACTAGAAGGTTTTAAAATTTCTGTACTTTTAGGTGACAGGAGACATGTGGCCTGGTCAAAACACAGAGAGCTGCACTCTAAAAGATCTTTAAACATAGTAAACATACCTTGTGTGCCACAGACTGCTCCCAAACACGAGGGGACAAGTAATACCTCTAAAACACTTAAGTTGACTTTATTAAACGTTAGATCTCTAGCTGGGAAAACATTTTTAATTAATGATTTAATCACTGAGCACAGCCTTGATTTTATGTTTTTAACTGAAACTTGGTTGGACCAAAGTAACAGTGGAGCTGTTCTCATCGAGACGACCCCTCCTAACTACAGTTTTATCAGTGAGGTCAGGGCGAGCAGGAGAGGAGGAGGGGTTGCTGTCTTATTTAATGAATCATTTCAATGTAAGCAGCTATCTCCTGGAAGTTTTCAGTCTTTTGAATATGTGGCTTTACAGCTGAAGGCCCCATCCAAAGTTGTGTTTCTTAATGTTTACAGGCCTCCCAAATACTGCACAGACTTTTTTAATGACCTCAGTGAACTGCTGTCTGTGATCTGTGTTGATTTTGACTGTGTAATTATTGCTGGGGATTTTAACATTCATGTGGACAACCCTCAGGACAAAGGGACTAAAGACCTGAGTAACACTCTGGGCAACTTTGGGCTGACTCAGCATGTAACAGAGGCCACACATAATAGAGGACACACTCTTGACCTACTGATCTCCAAAGGCCTGAGCATTTCAAACATTACTGTGTCTGATGTGGGCCTGTCTGATCATTACTGTGTTTTCTTTGAAAGTAAAATCTCAGCCCACACAAATATATCAACAGCAGTGATCACAAAACGGTGTATAACTGAACACAGTAGTGCAATTTTTAACCAGGTCTTCCCATTAACACCTGACCTGTCCAGAGGTTCAGTCAATGAGCTCATCAATAGCTTCAATGCTAACATGTTAAATGTAATGGATACTATTGCTCCCATTAAGGTGAAGGTTATCTCTGGAAGGAAAAAGTCTCCATGGAGAAACTCCACACTGGTGAAAAATGAAAAAAGAGAGTGTAGGAAAGCTGAGCGCAGATGGAGAAAAACAAACCTCCAGGTTCATTATGACATTTATAAAGAGAAACTTCACAATTATAATTTACAACTGAGGAATGCAAGGAGGTCCTACTTCTCTGACATCATCACTAAAACAGCCATAATGCTCGGGTCTTATTTTCTACAGTTGACAGGCTAACAAACCCCCCTGTGCCAGTGGCAGCTGAACTTCATTCAACCATGGCCTGCAATGACTTTGCCAAATTCTTCACTGAAAAAATCCAAAAAATTAGACAAGCAATTGGTACATCAACAGCAGATCCAGGATATGTACTGTGTCCACCAAAAAACTGTTTAAACACCATGAAACAGTTTCAACCTATTAACAGCAAAGACCTGGAGGACATCTTAGGTCAACTGAACTCCTCCTCCTGCTGTTTAGATGTCCTGCCAACAAGTTTTTTCAAAAAGGTCTCAAAGACTTTAGAGTCAGACCTGTTACAGATCGTCAACTTTTCTTTATTATCAGGTGTGTTTCCAGAATCACTAAAAACTGCTGTAATCAAACCTATACTGAAAAAGGACAATCTTGACAAGACACAAATGAACAACTACAGGCCGATCTCAAATCTCCCGTTTTTAAGTAAGATCATTGAAAAAGCAGTTTCTCAACAGCTCAGTTACTTCTTAAAACAGAATAATTGCTACGATGCCTTCCAGTCAGGTTTTAGACAGAACCACAGCACTGAAACCGCTCTGACAAAAGTGTTTAATGACATATGTCTGAATACAGACAGTGGAAAAATGTCAGTTCTAGTTTTACTGGATCTAAGTGCAGCATTTGATACAGTTGACCACAACATATTACTCAAACGACTGGAGAACTGGACAGGTCTTTCAGGAACTGTACTAAACTGGTTCAAAACATACGTAGAAAACAGGAAATACTTTGTATCAATAGGTAACTTCACATCTGAGCAGACAAGTATCACATGTGGAGTTCCCCAAGGTTCCATCTTGGGACCCCCTCTGTTTAACATTTACATGCTCCCACTGGCACAGATTATAAAGAACAACAAAATAAACTACCACAGCTATGCAGATGACACACAAATATATATCACAATGTCACCAGGAGACCGAGGCCCTGTACAGGCTCTTGGTAAATGCATTGAGGAAATCAATGACTGGTTGTGCCACAATTTTCTCCAGCTAAACAAAAACAAAACTGAGGTAATAGTCTTTGGCGCCAAAGAAAAACGATTACAGGTCACCAGAGAACTTCAATCTATACATCTAAAAACCACAAACCAGGCGAGAAATTTGGGTGTAGTGATGGATGCAGACCTAAACTTAGAAAAACACATTAAGACAATAACAAAGTCAGCTTACTATCACCTCAAGAATATTTCAAGGATAAAAGATCTGATGTCTCAACAGGACCTGGAAAAACTAGTCCATGCATTCATCTTTAGTAGGCTTGATTACTGTAACAGCATCTTTACAGGTCTACCTAAAAAATCAGTCAGACAACTACAGCTCATTCAGAACTCTGCTGCTCGAGTCCTCACTAAGACCAAAAAAGTGGACCACATCAGTCCAGCTCTGAGGTCCTTACACTGGCTGCCTGTCCGTCAGAGGATAGACTTTAAAGTTCTGATGCTGGCCTATAAAGCTCTGAATGGTTTAGGACCAAAATACATCAATGACCTCCTGACCCAGTATGAACCATCCAGATCCCTCAGGTCATCTGGATCCGGTCTTTTATCAGTTCCCAGAGTCAGAACCAGACACGGAGAAGCTGCATTCAGCTTTTATGCTCCTTATATCTGGAACAAACTCCCAGAAAGCCTCAGATCAGCTGAAACACTCAGTTTATTTAAATCCAGGTTGAAGACTCACCTGTTCTCAGCTGCATTTGAATAAAGCACCAAATCCACACTTTAAGCTTAAATTTCAAAACTTACATTTAACTACTGATTTTATCTACTGTTCTGATTTTATCTGTTTTGATTTTATATACTGTTGTTTGTTTGTTTGTTAATTAGTTAGTTAGTTTATTTGCTTGTTTTATTCAATTTTAAATCATGCTTTTTATTTGTTCTTGTTTCTAATGTCTCTGTAAAGCACTTTGAATCACCTTGTTGTTGAATTGTGCTATACAAATAAACTTGCCTTGCCTTGCCCTGCTTTTTAGCAGGACTTGTTGAAATCAGGGAACATCGTATTATCATTAGACCCTTTTTGTAATTCCTTCACTGAGCGTAACGCCTTCTCAAAATGTAGGAGATGAGTTATCTATTAGATGTCACCATGATTCAGGTGGATACACTCTGCTTGGACAAGGTATATATAAAAGGAGGCGAGCCTGTCAGCATTGATGCCTAATGTTTCCCTGACTTTAAAAAACAACAACAAAATCATCCAGTCCAGTGCACAAAGTGACAGTTGGTGAAGAGATGTCATCTCATGCCACTTCCTGTGCAGGAAATTGGCCAAAATGCTGATAAGTTGCTGTGCAGGGTGCAGCGTATCAGGAATGAGAAACCACTTTAAGGAAGGAAAACAACTGGGGCAATATTCAAAGAGTTTCTCATTCTTTATGTGGCTCTCAGTCCTAAGCAGGATGGCTATAGTAATAGATTAAAGGGTCATTGCATGTAAGCCAGTTTTCTCTGTGTGACAGGTGGAGTTGCGTATCCTGGAGCTGCAGCTAAAGCGCCGAAACCAGGTAATGTAACAGGCCCGGTACTGCTGCCGCACATCAAAGCACAATGTAAACATGGGAAATGTGCTGTGAATGTGTTTTCCTATAGCTTGTGGCCACTGTGTACTTTATGTTGAAAACACAGTTTCCCAGAAACAGTGTTTGGGAAAACGTCCACCTCACTTCCTCTTCAAATTAAGCCTCAAAAATTCAGTACTGGATCTTTTTAAAGTAGTTTTTGTTTTGTTAGCGAGTTGCTATCAAACCAAAATCACTAGATTTACTCAGATTACTTGTATCAAAAAGACACTTTGTAGACATTTACAGTACCATATTCTCTCTCTTTAGCAGAGTTTGTTTACCAGTGAGAAATGTGGCCTGAAACAAAGTGATTCAGCCATTTATTTATTTTTTAAATCCAGCTTCTGCAAAGGCAAGCTCCACCAAGGGCAGTAATCCCTGCAGTATTTCTGTTCCGTTAGGAGTCTGTAAATGGAGCAAGTCAACAACACATCATTTTGCCCTGGAGACCATATTACTGTGCAGAACATCACTGTGGGATTGTTTGAAGATAACACAACCCCCCTGGGGAGTCCTGCCCTGAAATAGCAAAATTCTGCCAGGGGAAATTTGGATGAGGACGTTAATGTGACGTTAGCTGAGCCACTGGCCACATGCCAGTTTAGGGCCTGAAGCAACAATGCTGGAGTAATACACACAGGAAAAAAAACTACAATCCATAGAAATATGAAACTTAGAAAGTTGTATTTGCTGTATATCAGAAGAAAAGAAACATTTGAATTGTTTCTTTATTGTCTTTTAATTTGAGCAGGCTACGGCAATATTGGAGGTGGTGGCGGATACCAACAAGGTGAGGACCACAGTGACATTTTTACCACTCAGTCCCTCTCCTTTTTATTCTTAAGCAGCTTAAGATGATGCATATTTCTGTTCAGAAGTCTACAGCCATATTTACACTTGCACAGCTTTTAGACCTGCCTCTTCTTCTCTTCCTCTGCCCACCCGTGATGGATCATTGCAATCACACAGCAGCAGCCGACAGTGCCGCCTGCTCTCACTTCCCCACAGATACTGCCCGGCTACAGCTAGTCATAAAAACTGTGTCCTAATCCATCTCCCAGTGAACACAGACACATCCGTCTGTGTTACTGCAGATGGTTTAATAGCTTTCATTTTTGCAGCACAGTTTTTCCATCAGGGAGGTTTGCCAAACTGAGAGATCCGTAATTATGAAAATCAGGTCAAGTTGTCATATTCAGCGTAATGCTGGGTTGTTTAATCATAACTTACTTGTAAAACATTTAGTGCAAATGGATTTACTGCCAACACAAATAGATTCTATACATGAATCCAATTCTTATCGTGTGACATATTTTCTATCTGTAGGCCTGTGAGGTCTCCATTAAAAAGGCTTTTTCAAATTTACAGGTGTAGTTCCTGGTTACAGAGGAGGATACCCCCAGCAGTACTACCAAGGTAAAACAACTACTTCCTTTATGCACATTTTGATTAAAGTATATTGATGAATTCACAGCACACATTATGTTACATACTACCTGCTACCTGTTGTTGGTGATAAACACTTCTGTGTAGTGACCTTTTAAGGGCGCAGGTTGTGCCATAAATCAGTGTTGACAAATGACAAAATAGAGCCATTTATCTTTAGAAGGTGGGATCAAAGGCAGAGAACAGTGGTAGGATGTTTTAAGAGTGTGTGGCTGTATCGGAGGTGGACTTTCACCCAAGAATAAGAACTCCAAAAAAAGAGGCTCTAATACTACTTTTCAGTAAAGCAGACTGAAGTATACTCATGAGCTACTTTATTAGATGTACCTTGCTAGTACCAAGTAGGACCAATTTTACCTTCAGAACGGCCTTAATTGCTTGTTGCAAAGATTCATCATTCATTCATCAGCTGTATTGTCGCAGCAGACAATCTTTCCAGCCTTCTGTTGTTCAAGAAAAAAGAAAAAAAGATGCAAATCTTGGTTGTAACAAGCGGTTATTTGAGTAACTGTTGCTTTCCTGTTGAATCATGTGGTGATTCTCCTCTGACATCAGCAAGGCATTTTCAGCCAGACAACAGCAACCTGCTGGATATTTTCTCTTTTTCAGCCCATTCTCAATAAACCTGAGGCTACGTTCACACTGCAGGTCTTAATGCTCAATTCCGATTTTTTGATCAAATCCGGGTTTTTTTTGTCTGCTCGTTCACACTACAAATAAAATGCGACAGCAAACGCGCTCTAGTGTGAACGCTCAAAGCGGCCCGCATGCGCAAAAGAAGACGTCAAACACAACGCGCTCTGTTTAGACCCAGACCAAACAATATTGTTTGACTGATGGCCCTTAACATAAAGACTTCGGACTTCACGTTTCCCAATTTTTGCTTTAAGTTATTTTGTTATTTACATAATAATGTATATAAACTAATAATGATCCTTATTGCTGTTTAAGAGAGGAGCGGTGCTTCAAAGGATAGTTGCAGATTTCTATCAGAATCTGCAGATTATGCAGTACAAATAAAATGTTAACGTTTCTCCAACGTTGTCTTCCCAACAGTTTCACTGGACGGCCAGGAAGCGTTCGCGATGTCTTATCGGGCGCTTCTCCGGCGCTGATAATTGGCGTCTGTCTTGTGTCAGTGACGTAAAAGACGGATTTAATGCGACATGACCGTTCAAACAGCAGACACTTTCTAAAACATCAGATATGTATCGGATTCAGCACCACATACGAAAGTGACCCAGATCGGATTTGAAAATATCGGATTTGTGCCGTTCACACTGTCATACCATGATCGTATATGGGTCGCATAGGGTCCAAAAAATCTGATTTGATGCGCTTTCACCTGCAGTGTGAACGTAGCCTTAGACATGGTTGTTGGGGACAATCCCAGTAGCTCAGCAGTTTCTGAAATACTCTGACCAGCCAGTCTCACAACAAAGTCACTTAAATCAAATAGTCTTCTTTCATCATTCTGATAAGCAGTTTGAAATTCAGCATGCCGTCTTGACCCTTGGCTGATTAGATATTTGCATCAACAAGCAATTGAACTGGTGTACCTAATGAAAAACTGTAATTCACAGTACATTCATAGCACTGATAACTGCATTGCTAAAATAAACCTGCCTCCACCGAGCGGAGGATTTGGCGCACAGATGATTGTTTAACTGTTTGTCCTTGTTTCTGGATCAGGGGCCGGATTAATGCTGCCTCCACTTTAGAGCTTAAAGAAAAGGAGAGGGGAGCAACAGGTTTTCTTTTCTTGCAACAATATTCACATGCCGAAAATGATTCGGAAACCACATTAGGAAAAATATTACCTGATTACCTCATCGGTATTTATTCTTCCCTCTCCTTTCCTTAATGTCGGCCACTTTCGCAGCTTCAGCTTTTGCACAGTTTCCATGTCATGCTTATTATGACCTCTTACTCGTTAATCTACAGTAGAGATATCTACTGTATCCTCTTATCCAACTTAAAAAAAAACATATTAAACTTTAAATATCTGGAATGTTTTAGTTTAATTTGAATTTGATTAATTATTCATAAATATTTTTGACTATCCTAAACACTGAAGGTTTTTTTTTTTTAGACCAAAAGGATTTGTGAACTTTTCCATTTTAAGTTAAAAATAATTAAACAGGTCAACCCACATTTTACTGACATTTCTTCAGTTTAAGCAGACAAACCTTATGCACCTCTATCCACAAGATTAAATGTCGGTATTATAAATACAAAACACAGACAGGAGAAGACTACTGTCTGCATAAAATCTGGTCACTTGTCTGCACTGAAAATGTGTCTGGAACAAACAGCTCAGCTCTACGTTTAAGTGCCTCCTGTGCGATCTTCTATAATGTCAACAGTTTAATTCTAACCACATCCTGGCTGAGAGAAATGAATCCACCTGTGTGACAGACCCAAAGTGGTTTCATCCTATCATTGCTCTGCTGACACCTACTCTTGTATTTGTCTTTCCTGTTGTGTAGGATATGTGCCAGCCCCGCTGACTCCTCAACAAGGTACCAAAACTCCACGTCCTCTCATTACATTACTTCACACATGCAAAAAGAAAACTTTATTTTTTTGCACATTATAAAGGCATTGTTTCAGTGAGCGACTGTTCCCTGAAGCTCTGCTCATTTTCCAGTTTATCTCTCATTAAATCTACTTTTTGGCAGAGCACGCCAACATGCCAGATTATCGAGATGAGTTTGGAAAATGGGTGTGTGCTGGTCAGTGCAGATGGTGCAGCTCAGCCCGTATGATGAACACACCATAATCTGTATCTTCCTGAACTAAATTACTCCTGCGAGTGGGATAATTTCATAGAAAGCGCATGCTATTTTAGAGGCTATAATATCATTCGTTGGATCACTCAAAGTACCTGACATACAGCTTTCAAGGGCTTTCAAGTCTCTGAATGAAATCTGAATCAGGTTTATTGACAAAACTTTAGCCAAACCAGGATTTTTTTTTTTATAGAATGCCCTGAATAAGCATGTGTTAGTGTAACATGTTACTTATAACGTGACTGGAGGATCATTAAGAAGATTAAGATATAAGAACTGTAGACGGGAAGAAAATGTTCTTGTGCCTTGAGGTGTAGGTCCTAATGTGCTGCAACCCCCTGCCAGAGGCAAGTGACTTAAAAAGCTCCTGTGGGAGAAGTGCAGATTCCAGCCAGTTGCCTTCTTAGTAGAGCAGTGGAGTGTGGAGGGGAGACAACCCTACACATGAGAGTAACTAGGAGAAGTGGATGACAAGATGCAGGTGAAGATAATCAAAGACAATTACACAGGAGAAGTACAACTAAAGTCAAGAAGCTAGAGATGGGTATCTATCAAAATAAAACAGGAAGGAAGAATTGTAACTAAATGGGGGAACACAGACGTGAATGATCTTAACATATGGGATCAACACAGTAAGAAGAAGATAAGATAGGAAACAACTCAAACTTTAATCAAGAATAATTTCATGTTTCTATGGTGAACATAATTAAATCATGTAGCATCTGCATGAAAATCCGCAACTTAATTTGTATCATGTCATCTCAACAAGATCAATCTAGTAAGAGTGGTTCGTTGCCTGGACTCACGAAATTCACAAAATCACATTAGATGTCAAACTGCAGGAAAATCGCTGGAGTTTTAAGAGGCAGATAACTACACCCACACCAGGTGTATGCTATCGCTATTTATTGTGGTTTAACATGTCAAGGAAAAAAACGTACAGAAAATTCTGCATCAAGCCTTGCAATCATAGTTTTCCTAGTTTTGTTAACCCTGGCTTGACAGCTTGGTGGCACGATGGTTAGTGCTGTTGCCTCACAGCAAGAAGGGCCTGGGTTCAAATCCACAATCTGGCTGATTTGCAGTGTGTAATTAGAGTTAGGTTAATGGGTAATTCTAAATTATCCATGAATGTAAGTGCAAATGGTTGTTTGTCTCTATGAAATCATCAACCCTCATATTGGTTCATTAAGCAAGACTAGCAGTTATTAACAAAGTAGTCGTTCAAACAACAAGATTTCATTGTGTTTTCCTAAAGTTTTTAACTTGTGTAGAATGAATTAAAATAAATTTCACTTTATATACTTCAATAAATCACTTAAAGTCAATGTAAGTATACTACATTGATCCAACGTAATCTGATTACATTAAACCACCAAATGTCAAATGTGTTGGTTTGACATGGTCATAAATGGGTTATTGTACTTGGTTAAATCACATGGAAAAAGGTGCCATGATTAAATTGTATTCATCCAACAACAGAATTTTTTGAGTGCAGGCAGACTCATCCCCACCTTTGATTAGCCCGATCGAGGTAGCGTCATCTGCTAATTTCATAAGGTTGACTGACTGGAGGTGGAGCTGTTGGTATGCAGGAATAAAATGAGGGGAGAAAGTATGTAGCCTGTAGGGGAACTGGTGCTGGTGGTCTGAGACATGCATGCATTTTCATGTCATGCCATTACATGACCAGTGAGGGTTTTCACATCCTTCCTTGGGCTGGTGGATAGTGGAGCAGTCCCACAATGATGGGACAAAATGATCTTTGCTAAAGTACTTGTAAAATCAGTGTGCCTTTTAGCAGCCATCCTAAAAAGTATTTCACAGTCACCAGGACTCAAAAACTTTATATGTAGAAGTTTATTATAAATATCATTCATCTCATCTTGGTGGTGTTGATTAGATTAAGATAAAGTTCTTGTCCAGTATATCAGCAGCTGTCTGTCATATATCACCTACCTTATTAATATAACTTGCTGAGCCGGTCTGCAGTGCAAACTTCACTAGTAAATCCATCTACAGTTTAATTTCCAGCACCCGTGTTTGGAGGCAAGTGTCTCCTGCCTTAAACGGCATCCTTACAGGGAAACGTGAACTTATCAAATGTGAACTTTGATAAGACATGCCGAGAAAAAGACAAGTTCTTAAACATTTATGCACTAGAAGAACATTTTGTTGAAAGCAAATGAATCATATTGGGGGGTTTCTTGTTTTTTGAAAGTACCAAATTTTACACAGAGAAAGTTTTTCTTGTAGAAATAGAAACAAAAACCCACAAAAAAGCCAAGAGAACAGTTGGATATTCAAATATATGCGTGGAAAATAGAGGGACAGATCTGCCCAGTGTCCAGTCGGATAATCTTCTGGCAAACATTAAGGCCAGTACCCTCAGATTGGAAACATAATAACCAATATTGTTTTGTTGTTTTGCAGCCAAAGCAGCAAAGTACGGTGCTCTGCAGGGCTTCCTTGGTGGCGCAGGTGGAGGAGGAGGCGGAGGATTCTATAGAGGTAAAAGACCTGTGCACATTGTTGAAGAAGCATCCTGAAAAACAGAAGTTGCTGCAAAGGCTAAAATGTTGCCGGTGTTTGCTGTAGGTGGCGTTGCAGGATGCCAGGGCAAATACTGTGGGAGGAGGAAGTAGAGGATCTCTCGAGATCCAGTGACCTCAAGAAACCATGGTGCTACTGCATGATCGAGAATGTACATTTTATATGCAAAGCCCCATTAGACAACCTGTAAAGATGTTTGTTTTTACTTACTTGACTTCAGTGTCTGTTTTTACACAAACCCACCGACCCAGAATTTTGTACATGTGACGTATGTTATTGACAGTGCCTTTTAATCATTAACGTGTTCAAGTTAACCAAGTTAATTCTGTACCGCACCGGCCCACCATGTGTCGCTGCGTCCGTGCACACACGCCTGCACGTGTGTGTATTGTTTGTTTGAAACTCTGTCTGTACCATCGGCTGTCAATGTCACCCACAAGTGATTTCCCTTTCTGCTTTAATCCTAAACGAAATCAAGGTGATCCGTCTCACTGGGCAGCACAGGGCTCGTCTGCTCCTCTCTGACCTGTCACAGGGGTGGGGTTGGTCATAGCTAGGCCGAAATCTGATGATATCCATCCAATGTCAGTGCGGTTCCTGGCTCCCCATTTTCTCTGCTGCCATTTTTAGGCCTGCTGGGTATAAAGCGGTGGTAACTGGGGCTCCAGCCAACCCATCTGCTCTCACCAACTTTGCTGATTCTTGTTGCTGTGCAGTTCAGTGTTCTCAGCTTTTTTGTGTTAAATGTTGCCAAACACTTTCTGCTGAAGACAGTCAAAAAGCAGTGGGTTTAAATATCAATCAGACACTGCTTTGGTATGTACGCGACGTGTATGTGCGTGTGTGTTTCATTATGTGTCGTGTTTAAGTCTGCTTCAAATGTTTAGTCTCATTTACATTTATGTAACTGGTCATTATTCAAGATTTGCGGCACCATGATTTGACTCATAGCTTTTTTGTTATCAGGAATGTGTGAGCATTAAAAAAAACAATCCTTTGCTTTTGCATTTATTCACTGTTATTAACTGTAATACAGATTAATACTTTGTTTTAATGGGAATGCCGCTGTGTTTATGTGAGGCACAAAATCCCTGTTCTTTATTTACTTGAGCTGCTTTAAAAAAAACAAAACCAAAGGCTTTACTGACCAAAGGTTCATGAGCGCTGTTGCCAAGTGACCCCTATCTCTTCCCGTAACTGTGTACTGTATTTTGTACTAATTTGATGGCTTCAGTTCCTTCACTCGGTGCTGTGTAAGAACTGTCTTTGAGCCTCGCTGGGTCAGACCTTGTCTTATGTGGCGTGGGATAGTCTTCATCTTTATTTAAAACTGTTTTTATAAGGAGGAACAGTGTGGTTTTGCACTTTTTATGTTTCCACGGCACACATGTGACTTGTTCCCGGACATCCCGGCATTTTATTTGCTTTAACAAATAACAAAATAAAATGTGTTTAAAGAACACGCGTCTTCTTATTCATTACTTCTTCCTGTCCGTCCTGAGGGCTGATCAAAATCACCCGGTGGGGAGTGTCGAATCAGTCCAACGCTGGAACAATAACCTGGGTTCAAGTCCTGCCTGTTTTAGAGCTTTTTTTTCATATGAGTTCTGTTATTGTTCCACTAGGGAAAATGAATCACTTATCAGATTTATTGTATGTGAAGGATTTCTTCTCTATAATGAAAACAAACCTCAGGTTAGGTGCGAACACTTTGCCAGAGTATGGCGACTATGAGCTGTGTTCTTATTGTGCCAGCTGGAAGTAATGAACTCATACTGCTGTTCCCTGAAGATCTCCTGGGAGAGCCACTGACCCGTGATCCACATCCTGTAAAAGTAGCTTACACTGTTGTTCCAGGAGCAGAGGCTTTACTGCAGACATAAAACAATGTCACTGTGAAACTCTAGTCGAATTCTGTTTTTCTACAGCTGGCAATTACACATTTCTGTAAATCTATTTGCTTGATTTTCCTAGTGTTAGTTAGCTTGCTTAATTTCTAACAGGAAATAATGTGTTTGTGTTACTTTAGGCAACATGTAATCGGTGTAGGCAAACCCTTTGTACATACGTGTACTAAATCAGTTACCTGGCGACCTGCCGCTGGGACAAACAGATCAAACCTCTGGCCCTGGCTTAGCTATCCCACTCCCATCTCCCCATACCAACACTCCTGACGCTGAACCAGCGACACTGATTCTTGAAGAAAAAAAATAAGTTTTTTTTAATATCAAAAAATGTGTCTAATTGCAGGAAGCCCCTTGGGAAATACATATATTTAATAATAATAATAATGATAGCCCACATAAACTGAGAATTTTTGTTAAAGCGTGCATTACTCTGTGTATATTTTGCACACTGCCGGCTGCAGATAGCTTTAAGAAGCGTTAAGTTCATCATGTCTAAGCAATGAGGAGTTTTAAGCAAAAATATTTCAACTTGGTGTCCACTAATGCTATACTCACACATGAGAAAACAGTGTTTGGAGACTGCAGTATAAGCAAGATTACTGTGATTTGTGTGCTTTGAAGACGGAGACCGGGTATGCAACCACCCGCAGTGAGCTGCCGTCCTCGTTACCATTTTATTGCTGTCTTTAGTGCGATAAGACTGAATCAGTCTGCTATGAATCTGCTGGCAATTACATGTTAATACTACAAACCTAATTATACAAACCTGTTGCCGTCTACATTTACATAAGTCATCCAGTGGAAGTGAGTCCCTTACTGCAAAGAGACGTGTTACAGAGGTGTTGAGGTCATCCAGACTCACTCAGAGTTACAAAAAAAAAAAAAAGGGGGGGGGGGGATCCATCGTCACCACCACGTGGAGCAGGTGCAGAGCCGAAAAAATGTAAACATAGAAAAGAATTAACACACACTGCAGAGCTCCAGCTTCCTTATTTATTGCATCTAGTAGTGTGTGACGTTTCGACTACGTCTGCTTTTCTTCAGATAATGACACGTAGGACGGCACCATCTTAAATCGTCTGTGATAGATCACATGACCATGACCAATGGCAATAATATCCAATCAGAACCATGTCTTATAGGTCTCACTCAGATTTATTCCAATAGGTTGATAGTCTGTCTGCATTTGAATTTGAGTTTGCCATTTTATGTCCACTCTAGTGTCACATGGTAGACCTGCACCTCAACTCGCCTCCGTATTTGTTGTGTGAAATTGGCACTAATTTCTGTGCGTTTCAGAATTGCTGTGAGACGGTGGCTGATTGGGTTCTTTTAACTGAAGCTAGTTATATTTGATTGTTCTTACACTCTGGTCCTTTGATATTTCACACTACAAACGCTGCTGTTTCACTTGTGGCCCTTTGTGCAGGTATGTTAAAAATTCCAGACTGAAGAAGGTTTGAATTAAAAATATTTTTTATGTTTGCATTCTGCTGTGGTTCTGTGCTTTGTACAATTGAAATTCAGAGATGATTCGGTGATATAATCATGCTGTACACACAGAATCCGTGTGTTACACTGAACCATAAAGGAAAATGGACGTGTTGACTGCGTTGCATTTAAGCAATGACTAAAATCAGTAATTACCATTTTGTAATTTCTGAATTGTGCGCTCAGGCTTCCGTTTCGTGCCTGCTTTACACTTCTTCGCAGAGCTAACTGATTTTATGGCTCCTAAATTAAGCCCCAGTTAATCTCATGAACAGCAAATTTCACGATTTAGACATCTAATAAAACCTCAGTTTTTATACTCCTGACTACACTGCAGCTGCTTTTAGATTTGCCTTCATGGGTTTAAAACCAGCCAACCACTTCATTTTATTTCCCTTCGTTACAGCTTCTTTTTATGTTGCACCCTTTGCTTACACTTTGTTTGCACTTCTATGAGACACTTAGCAGCTACTTCCAGCACCTCCACCTATCCCATATCTCAACCCCTTTCGCCACTATCACGCATCAATGCGTTAATATTTTACCTGCCTTTCTACAAGAGCGCACTCTGTCTACTTGTAGTTACCTTGTAGTTACTATGGTGGCGTTTCTGCGCCGTCTCCCCCCACCTACCCCTCTCCCCTCCGTCCCTCCTCCACCAGACTTTATTAAGCAGGGCGTGTTTGTGGTTGGCCAGCCCCCTGTTTCCTCCGCACTGCTCGGCAGCTTCATTGGTCAGCGCCTCTCTTGAATGAAGCGCCGCAGAAACGTGCAGGCAGCGGGCAGAAGGAAGCTGTGTGGGCCGCCGCAGGGAGCGACCGACGCGCAGCGACACGACCCCCGGGCGCGTTGCGGTGTGTGTCGGTGAACACCGTTTATCCGTCGAGCAGAGGCAGTTGGCTCTCTCCCGGAGCTCCGCGTGTGAATGAGGTTGATGCTGCTCTGTTGCACCTGGAAGGACGAACGCATGGGAGAGGAGGAAGGTAAGGACCTGCGTGCTGGTTACGCGCTTCGGCTTTTGGGGCGGGCGATGCGGAGACCACGGCGCACTCCCTGCTCCTCGAAACGCAGAAGATGCTCCAACAGAAAAAAAAGCTGCACACTGCACCGTTTCTGTGTTTACTGTACAGAAATAGGTTCGTGTGCAGGGAGCGCCAGGCTGTGCCGCAGATGAAGCCATTCTTCGAGTGGATGCGGCCAGCATGTTTGTATGCAACGTTCACCCTCAGGCCACCACCACACTCTTCATCTGCCGCCAGCCTTCTCCAATAATCCAGCATGCAGTGCTTATAAACAGGTTGTTACGTGAGAAGTAACTGTCCTTTAAGAGCTTCCTTCATGCTGTGTGAAAACACACAGATGGCAGAGTTTCCTGTTGTGCCTGCACCAAACTAAGACTCCCACAGACTCCATGATTAACTTAGGTGTGTGACCGGTGTAGATTTAATCGTTTAAAGCAGCCAGATAACCTTCTGATCTCATTATTAATGAAGCTGTTTTAATTGTATGTTTTTTTAATTCATTGTTTTCTGGATAGTGATTCAGGAAGCTATGGCTCGAACAGCTGGTAAACCACATTGTTGATCTATGTGTGTTTATTTTGGCATGTGGTGTGAGATAACTGTGCACACCGAGCTGTCAGTCAGCTTCACTGAGGTGAACAATGGGCGTCCTATGTAAGGTTTCACTTTGCATTGCAGTGTGGTTAGCTAATCTGGAAGTGTCTGCTTTAGGTCAGAGCGGGCGGGGCGTACGCACCTGTACCTGCACAGGTTTTACAGTTTGTGCCAGAATGTAGGTGTGTTTCTGTTTGCCTTGGCAGCCCTGTCTGAAGTCAACAGGAGGAAAGAGATCATGCAGAGAAATGCTCCACAATAAAAAATGCTATAAAAAAATTAAAAAAAAAGATGGTAAAAAAGTGTTTAAAGAGAGAAGGCTGGAGGAGTGAAGAAGAAAAGCATTAGCACCAGACATCAGCACCCAAAACTCTGCCAAAATGGCTTTCAGTTCACAGGATGGATGAATAATTGAAGCTGTTGTGCAGAGTTAAGTTTTATCAAGACTCTTCCACCAGTATCCAGATTTCATATTGTGGCACTTTTGAACTTAACCTTGGTCAAAATTGGGCCTCTTTATAGCTGCTTTGTATGTGGAGAAGTACTCTTGTTACTTCTTGTTGAAATGCCATGATGAAGAGGTGCTACGCTCGGCTGTTACTCTGAGGTGACAGTCGTGATGTTACTCTTGGGTGTACCGCAAGTTCAGGAGCTCAGCAGTGAGAGTAATGCGGGGGAACCTGAAGCAGTAGCATCTGTGCAGTTTTATTCTTTACAAATCAAAACAGCATCCCCACGGATGGAATGCTTTCAACTGGCTGCCATGTTTGTGTTTGCTGTTACTCACTGAGTCTTGCCGTGTGACTTTTTTTAGGCAAATTAACTCAGGCAACAAATGCATCTAACACAGCATAACGTTGGCCGCCGCCTCGCCCTTTGCACCAGATGAACCCTTACTGCAGGATAAATCGTCCCAACTCTGCCAAATTGCTTTTTTCCTGAAACTCTAATCATAATGAAGATTTTCCTAAGAGGTGGAATCTTTGATCTGCAGCTAATAAGATTCCTCTCATGGAAACGACTCTTATCAGGAAAGAAGTAGAAGAAAGCCGATGTCTGGTTTAAATTGTAAGGAAAATATAAAATGTTATTAGCAGGCATGTTATTAGCCTGCTAATAACTATGTTATTAACTATGTTATTAGCAGTTTTGATGATAACTACATTATTTTAAAAGCGTACATCTACCTGCCATCATTTTATGCATCATCTCAGTTTCTCTTTAGTTTCTTTGTGTCGTTTCCTGCTTTTACAACACGCACCCACGCCTCCACACTCATGGTGCGTTAAATTTGAATTTGAAAGTAGGAATTTCTGAGTTTCCAGTTGGGAATTTTCATCTGGAATGGCCCCCCTTAATCTGAAGTTCCGAGGCAAATACAATGCAGCATCATCATCACCCTGATTTCTACACTCGATTAGTTTTGGACTTGTTAGCCAAGCTTGC